CAATTCCTTTTGGTGGGTACAAAATGAGTGGGCATGGGAGAGAAAAGGGAATTTACAGCCTCAGTAACTATCTACAAATCAAGGCTGTTGTTACTCGTCTCAAGAATCCAGCATGGCTCTAGTCATTTAAATTTTCTTTCTTCATTTTCATGGGGTCCGCCAGATATGACATTTGTTTAATAATGTATTTCCTCGAGTGGGCCGTACTGGGTGTATTTGGTTTTAAGTTATATAATTTTAATAAATATATACCACCCTTCGTTTTTTTTTCTTTCCTTTTCTTGGCGATATGAACCAGGTTCACTTCAAAAGTGGCGCGATTTGGACCTTAGGACTTGTCAAGCAGGTCGTTAGGTGCAAGTTACGGGTCAAGATGATGGAAGTACTCCCAGACTCCCAAAGGTCTCATATGAGGTTGCTCCATTGCTTCTCTATTTCGAGAATTATAGATCGTGTTTGCCAAACATAAGATTATATTCATCTTCATCGGATTGTGAATAAGACACAACCAACTTTAAGAATAAATTAAAAAAGAAAATATGTAACCCAAACTCGGGTGAATCAAGATTGTGGTTATTTCTTTTTCTTTTTCTTGCCACATGTTACAATTTGAATAAAAGATTTTAGATCTTTTCCAATTCTCTAAAAATAAAGCTTATTGTTAACACATTTTCATCACACCGATCTTAAAAGTTCTAAAATTTCCAATACTCGTATTATCTTAAAAGTTCTAAAATTTCCAGTTCTTTTTCTAGTTTCATCACCCGCGACTAGTAAAGACCAATTTAGGCTTGAACTAAGACCGGTGAGAACCGATTCAGACCCGGCCTAGTCTGACAGTCCCAAACCGGTTATAAAGAATTCACGGCCCGACACATCCTGGGTAGGCCTGGACTTGTAAAAATTTAGTTTTTATAAGTTATATATATCAAGTTTTTCTATATTTCTATAAACTTTTCAAGTTTCTTTTACCAAAAGCTTTCTTTTTAAAGTTTTTCAAGTTCTTTGTTTGTGCAAGTGTTTCAGTACTAAATCTCAAAAATCGCAATTATAAAAACATCAATAACATTTCTGTGTAAAGATATATTTTTAAAGTGTATACGGATGACTCAATCAGATATTTTAAAGTGTATTTTAATAAGATATTGTCTTAAAAAAAAAGAAAATCTTCAAACAAAGCATTTTTTATTGCTCAAAAATTGATTTCTAAAAGAAAAAAAAATTTGGGATCTGCTTGGGCCTAGCCCAGGTTATTTTGGTCGGGATCGAGACGGAATACAAAGGGCGGATATCGATTTGGGCCCAACTGGGTACCCATTTTTTACCATCTCTTATTGAAATTGAAGATTGTTTATTTGAGATTGAGTTGAGTGAGATTCTTGTGAAATATAGTTTAAGGTAACTTTTTTTTATAAAATAAATGGATCCAAATAAATGTTTTATTAAATTATACAAAAGTTAAAATTATATTTCTATTGCTTCATAAATAATAAAACTTCTATATTTTATTTGTTATTTAATATATTTTAATAAATCTATTATAAATATTTGTATTTGATTATATAAATAATTTAAAATTATATATAGGGGCACGTTCAAATGAAAACCGTGCATTTATAAGAAACCGTGTAAACCAATTTCGATCAATAAGAAAATTCATTTTTTTTCTAATTAAATTTAATCAATAAGGGTATTTCGGTCATTTATAATATTTTCTATTAAATATGTAAGTTATTAATAAATCTTAATTAAGGAAACATAATAAAGAAAATTGTATAAATGATAACATTTAAATATTTAATTATATTATAATATTAAAAATTTGAATTTGATATTATTATTATGAAATTGAATCTGCAAAAGGGTCTTGAAGATTGTATTGCATTATAGAATGCAATCGTAAATTATGGTTCAAATTAAAAAAATAATGTTAATGAAACAGGTTTCATGAAGGTGAAATTGGTTCATGTTGTAATTGATTCATGAGTAATATGAAATCGTTTCATGGTGAACCACGTTTCAGTGATGGTGTAGTTGATCCGTTTAGTAGAAAAATAGAACTTGAAACGGGTGCATAATTTATTTGGTTCGTCATGAAATAATTGCATGATGAAACGGGTACATGATGAATCTGCTTGGGGATCTTGTGTAATCTGCTCCAAAATATTGAAGATTGTAAAGATTAAAGGAAAGAATGTATCAAATCATGAGTGAAATAAAAAAATTAATTTACATGAAACATGTTTTATGAAGGTGAAACTGGTTCATGGCGTAATTGAACAATGAGTGGTGAACTGCTTTCATGGTGAAACTCGTTTCAGTGATGGTGTAGGTGATCCATTCAGTAGATGAAATAAAAAATGAAACGAGTGCATAATGTAGGCGGTTCGTCATGAAATAATTGCAAGATGAAAAATAAATTAGTTTCATTAATAATAATAAATGTTAACGTAAAAATAATAAAATACTTTACAAAAAATAAATTAGTTTCATTAATAATAATAAATGTTAACGTAAAAATAATAAAATACTTTACAAAAAATAAATTAGTTTCATTAATAATATTTGGTTTTACCCTTTTGCCCTTATCGGTATTATAAAATGTATTTTCAAATTTTTTTATTTTTAGTTTTCTTAAATAACCTTGATTAATCTTAACCATTGATCAAGAAAATGGATGAGTGAAATTGGTTTACATGGTTTACACAAATGGAGGCGGTTTTTATTTGATCGCTTCTCTCTATCTATCTATCTATCTATCTATCTATCTATCTATACTATATTATAAAACATTTGACAAAATCTCTTAAAAACCATTTTTTATGCGTAAAGTACTGTTTATTAATGCATATTACTTAAAATTCAAGATTGCAAGTAGATTGTGCATAAATACAACTTATTAAAGCTCCATATCTGAATTTGTGTAACTAACTACAGATAAACATAATCAAATACAAGATAAACATGTCATTTTAAATTTAAAACATCTAAAATATAATTAAGATAATTATTGAGTTCTAACAAAATATTTAATTATTATCTTTATAAAATGTTATATTATTAAACAAAAAATAAATTATTTCGTTATTA